GGCGGGGTTGTGGGCTGAAATGATCGCCGCTGCTCAAATTGATACAAGTGGTCTGATCAGAGAGGCGGCAGCTCCACAATGTACATTCAGCTCTGCTTGTCCGGAGACGGGCTAAATGTACATAAAAACTATTCGCCCGGCGCCCGAAACTGCATGTCCCGGGCGTCGGGCGATAGGAATTCCACCCCCCTGGTTCAGTAGGGTTGAGGTCATGGCTCTGTGAAGGCCACTCAGGTTCCTCCACACCGAACTCCTCAATCCATGTTGGATGAGACGACCCGGCTCATAGTTGGCGTTGCAATTAATCCCAGAGGTCTTCAGAAGGGTTGAGGTCAGGGATCTGTGAAGGCCACCCACGTTCCTCCACTCCAAACTCCTCAATCCATGTTGGATGAGACGACCCGGCTCATAGTTGGCGTTGCAATTAATCCCAGAGGTCTTCAGAAGGGTTGAGGTCAGGGATCTGTGAAGGCCACCCACCTTCCTCCACTCCAAACTCATCAAACCATGTTGGATGAGACGACCCGGCTCATAGTTGGCGTTCCAATTAATCCCAGAGGTCTTCAGTAGGGTTGAGGTCATGGCTCTGCGAAGGCCACTCAGGTTCCTCCACACCGAGCTCATCAATCCATGTTGGATGAGACGACCTGCCTCACAATTGGTATTCCAATCCATCCCATAGGTGTTCAGTAGGGTTGATGTCGGGGATCTATGAAGCCCACTTGGGTTCCTCCACACCAAACTCAAACCATGTCCTTATGGAGCTGGCTTTGTACACAGGGGACAGTCATGGTGGAACAGAAAAGGGTCGTCACCAAACTGTTACCATAAGGATGGAAGAGCGCAATTGTCTAAAATGTCTTTGTAGGTTGTAGAATGAACAGAACCCTTCACTGGGGACATCTCACCGAAGTTCTAACCTTTGCCTGCTCCAAAGATATAAAGTTTTGACTGCAGTCGGCCTTTAACCAATCAAGATCTTCCCTATATTGGAATGTGATTGGTTACCGTGTTCAACAGAAAGTGTTTAATTACCTTTGATGAGGAAGTGCGAGCTGCTGGCTGGACGCGGTTTGTTATCGGGCGTCTTTATCATTATAAGAAAAGTAAACTTATTCAGCAGTGTTTGTGGTTGATAAGTATGAATCAGATTATTTGCTTTCCCTATCAGACTTCACAAACCTATTATGTCCTTAAACATACACGAGGGGGAGGGGGATAGAAACAAGAGGCGGGGGGGGGGGGGGGGGGGGGGTTATACCTTCTGCGGTAAATTACCAAATTCTTGTCTCGTCGCAGCAACGGACATTTGAGTGGTCAGATTTGTACTGTTCCACCCTTTCCTCCGTCGCTCCTTCTTTAGAGAGAATCGGGGTGACTTGGAATTGAGATGATGTGGATTAGGGATGAGCTCCATGGGCGCTTCCACCCAATCAGCTGCGGCACTGGCATTCCCCGCCCCACAGCTGAATGTTAACAAAGGGGTGGGATGCTTGTGTGGACATAATTTACCTTATATGGCTGCATAGCCATATTAGGTCATTATCACTTACCAATTATAGACCTGTAGCCATATAAGGTCAATGATGTCATGCCATGGGCACCTCCACCCAATCAGCTGCAGTACTGGCATTCCCCACCCCGCAGCCGAATGTTAACAAAGGTGTGGGATCAGGGGCGTAAGTGGAAATCACAGGGCCCCATAGCAAAATTTTGTATGGGACCCTGTGATTTCTAGTAACGCCCCTTGCAGAGCTCACCTGAGATTCCAAACAGCCCACCTGAGTGACCCTGCAGAGCCCACCATAGACTCTATGGTGGGCTCTGCATGGTCTCGGGTGGGCTGGTCACACCCCTGCACACCTCTTACCTGTCAGCCCCGATCTGCTGTTGTCCGCTTCCTTCATGGTCGCTGGCGGTCCCCGCCTCCTCTGTCTCCGGGCCCCGCCTCCTCCGTCGCCTGGCCCCGCTCCCTCGGCTGCCAACGCCGAGCCCCGCCTTCTCCGTTGCCGACGCCGGGCCCAGCCTTCTTCTCCGCATCTGCTGACAGCCTAATGTAAACAAACACCAGGTGCTGTCATCTGCTAGAAATTACTGAAACCTGATCTCTGTTGTGATCTTTTGAGGGTGAATTACTCCACAGCACATACAGCTACATAGGTCAGTGATGGCTTGTTTTAAAGCTCTATTACTAAATGTTATAAATGTGTGAATACTTTATAGTTCACTGTCTGGGCACAGGTGCACTTTATGCTAATAGGACCGAGCACAGAGGAGAGGCTTCCGGCGTGCCTCGTCCTGACTTGTCGCATTGTGTATTTCTGTGATGCGGAATACAACGTGCAGAGACGTTTCCTGCGCAGATAACCTTCCGCAATGTCAGAACCTTAGAAAAACATCACAGTGACGGTGGCACTGAGGGAGACAAGAGCCTGGCCCGGCATACAGATCTCCCTGCAGCAACACACCTGCTCAAAGGGAAGTCCGCCGTTCAGACTCTCACTGTTCAGGTGTGACAATCATAATATTGGCTGAATGTTGTTACTGCTCTCAGTCTTCTCTGGAATAAACCAAAGGGGGACAAAATAAATGATATATATATGTACATATACGGTATGTGTCCATGTTATATCTCATCTATTTCTGTTTTGTTTTTTTTAAGCTTTGGATATAGTGGGGAAGGTAAATACTATGCTCCTCGGCTCCATCTAGTGGCCACAATGTATTATTAAAACAAACTGCATTTGAACTGGGGAAACTCCATCTAGTAGCCACAATGTACTATTCAAGTGACACTAAACTCAAGAGTTAAATCTTAAAAATACTTTCAAGTACCCTAACTATAAACAACAATGTATCTTATTTGTATATCACTCGGCTGCAGATCCTCCAATCATCTCTGAATTGGTGCTGACACTGTCCTTCCTTCTGGAGGGGGGGGGGCTACTTTTGTTCCCCATGGTCCCTGTGTGTGTTGTAAAGTAGTCACCACTCCAAGCTCCCTCCAGATTTCATCCGGTAATTTTATTTTTCCATATTACCTGGGAAAATGAACTTACCCTTTAATGCACATTGTGTGTGTGGAAGAGAATTCTGGCTGCCGCCATTCCATCGCATCTCATGCAACCTCATGTTTAGTTTACTAATTTGTATTGTGATTGTAGTCCATCCCGGGAATGAGCTTGGAGCACACTAACATACATACATACAGTGGCGTCACAAGGAGGTGCGACCCGCACCCAAGTGCCACTATTGGAGGGGTGACGCCAAAATGACAGTCATTTTGGTGTCACCCCCTATGAAATGTCGGGCACTCGGATACGGACCGAGAGCCTGACAGTGTCAGGAGAGAGGAGGGGACTCGGCGGCATACCTCATCCCGCCGGGTGAACGTCCTGTCCCTCGGCCGCCAGCAGGCGTCAAAAAGACCAGTGCGCATGCGCATTTACATCACAGTGGGGTGTCAACCGGTCTCAGTCCCCGGGTGACACCCAGCCTCGGGGCGCCACTGCATACATACACACACAACAGTGACCTCTCTGCAGAGGTGTTACATTACCCACTGCTGAGTCAGGGCGAGAGCTCTTCATTAGAGCAGCGAACATGGCCTTTGCTGGGTGCAGAGCTATAGGTGTGACTCAAAAGGGGGGCGTGTTGAACCTCTGCAGAGAGACCACTGCTTCATTGCGGGAGGCGTTCTGCAGTCCACATAGGTAACCTGTGACCATGTGGCAGAGTCCACAGAAAATGAAGCGCTCACTGGATTTCTGCAAGGTTTTTATTTTTCATGCCTCTGGGGGTGATGCCTGTAACTGTCAGTCTTGCAATGCCTCATGGGACTTGTAGTTCCACAACAGAAGGAGGGCCGGAGTTGCCTCTGACCTAGGGAATGATGGAAGGAATGTACAATATTTTACGTTTTGATTTTTTTTTCCACTGCGTTTTGCTCCTGGTTCTTCGCGCATCAATCTCAGAAAACGCACAACGTCCTCATTTTTCTCCTGCGTGTAATTTATCACAGAAGTGACATATTTACATTGTGCGCATAATGAAGCAAATAGCACC